ATATAGTACTGTACCTCAATTATTGTACTTGGAAAACTAAACTACAGTATTACCTGTTTAGTCTGATCATCACTCCTGCTAGGATCGGTGGTATCGACAGGGCTCTGCTTAACACTAGACTCCCGACTACTGATGTCACTTGTTTGGCCACCAAAGAAGCTGTCCAATAGTGATTTTGGGTTGTTATCCATACACTCGTGAAGTTCATTCGATGATTTCTCTAATTTTATATTTGTGCTCCCCTCAATAGGAGATCGTTTATTTTGTGTATATCCAACACTGGCAGGAGAGGAGGAAACTCCATGGTGCAATGTTTGGTTATCAACACCATCTTTTGGGGATCTCCTTTGACCTTTCCTATAACTGGATCGAAGCAAACTTTTTTCACTGGAACTGTCCATAAACAAGGTGTGTTGGTCTTTATGAGACTGTGATCCTCTCCGCCGCTCTTCACTACTTTCCCTGGAATGTTTAAATTGTTCTTTTTCTGAGTACTTTGATTCTTTTCTATGACGATCTTTATGTCTATCTTTTCTACTACGATCTGATGCTTGATCCGAGTCCGTTTCTAAATTTCTATTTTCTGATATATATTTTTCTGGTTCAGAAGAATCTGCGAATTCACCTTCTGATATAGATTCTGTACTAGCACGGGTCTTTTTCAAAATAGCTGCTATTCGTGAATCCAATGTGGCCATGGCTGCATCTGAGGATGGATCTACAACCACTTCTTTATCATCCTTTCGATTGAAAGGATCCTTAAAAATGTCTTTATGCATCTGCGGGTTCTCTTGGCCAATGGCTGTTATGTCATGCTCATCCTGGGTTGGTGTTCCTTGTCCTTCATCTTCAACCCCTACATCCTGAACCTTAATGGTAGTATCTTCCCAATGTTTTTCAACCTTTGCTTCTACTCTGACTCGTTTATCATCAAGTGAATTCTCTTTGGATTTATCTCTCCACCTACCTTCCCTTGAACTATCATCTCTTCTCCTTTCATCCCTCCATCGGTCATCTCTGCGTCGGTCTCCTTTATCATCTCTCCTTCTGTCATCTTTATACCTATCATTCCTGTATCTATCATCTCTATTATACTGGTCAGTTTTTCTGCGATCATCTCTTCGCCTGTCATCCCGTCGATCACCACGCCTGTCATCTCTCCATCTATCATCTTCTCTCCACCTATCATCATCTCTTCTCCAGTCATCTTCATCCTCTCTGTCATCAAAATCTTTTTCACCATCTCTTCTTGGTTTCTTTTTCTTATTTTTTTTCCTCAATCGCCTGTGTTTATAATTATCCCTGTTGCCATCAAAGGTGCCAAACTTCCCATGACTTTGATTTGATCCATCATCAAATCTTCTGTCAAACATTTGCTGTTGGTTTTGGAACCCTTGGTCCATTTGATTGCCAAACTGTTGGTTCATCTCTTGTCCTTGAAAATTCTGATTCCAATTTCCAAACTGCTGGTTACCAAAATTCCCCTGCTGATTTTGAAAACCAATATTACTTTGATTACTGCCATGGAAACCAAAGTCTCCTTGAGGCTGATTAAATGGAGCATTCCACTGTTGTTGATTAGCGAATCCCATATTTTGTTGCATTTGTTCTGGGAATTGAGGATTAAAATTAGCACCACCAGGAGCAAAAGCTTGTCCAGGATTAGTTTGTGGAAAGCACATGGGATTCATTCCATGCATCTCTTGCTGCTGAAATTCAGGTTGATTGTAATTGAATTGTTGCTGCTGCTGTTGCTGCTGCTGAGCTTGGCTGTTTTGAAACATTTGATTTTGCATAACTGCCGAGAAATTCATGGCATCAGGTTGAGTATTAAAATTTGGGACATGGTGACTCTCTTCTGGGTGTACTGCATCTCCTGTACTTTGTGGTGTCAATGGGGGTACTCCAAAATTAGCACCTTGAAAATTCATAGCCTCTAGTCTTTCATCCAGACTAGAAAAATTACTAGGTTCTTGAGCTCCAGCTGTAGTACTGGGCTCAGAGTTCAAACTCTTTGGTGTGTCTGGCTCTTTAAATTTGAATGCATGCTCTGACTTTGGTGTCGGAGTTGGTGTTGCAACAGAGTCACTCACATACCCAAGAGAAGCAAGTTCAGGTGGTGGACGGGCACCCTCAGAGGAAAGTCTTCTGGGATCTTTTCCTCTAGGAAATTCAGGTGTTCTTTTGCCACCATAGCGAGGGTCATATGGAGTGGAGCCACTACTGCTTGGGGTGTTTCCTTTGCCAGCAATGAGACAATCAAAGATTCGTTCACATTAGATGTGTATAAGAGACAGTCTTTATGTCTATCTTTTCTACTACGATCTGATGCTTGATCCGAGTCCGTTTCTAAATTTCTATTTTCTGATATATATTTTTCTGGTTCAGAAGAATCTGCGAATTCACCTTCTGATATAGATTCTGTACTAGCACGGGTCTTTTTCAAAATAGCTGCTATTCGTGAATCCAATGTGGCCATGGCTGCATCTGAGCAGTTAAAAAAAAACACAACAGAAATGAACCAAATACTTTTCATGTAGACCATATATATATAGGTAATTATTATGCTGAATATTAAATAGATAGATTGATTTGTTTGACAACACCTTAACGCAAACAGTAAATGTAAAAGGTTGTCTGATAAGAAATGTTTCTCTCTACTGGATATTGATAACAATGAAATCAAATTGAAAATCAAAGAATCCCTTTACATAAAATGGAACAATCCTGATCTTAATTTGCAAATTAAACATGTTAACTTAAAGCTTATTTAAATATACACGTAAGCAATAGTTATTATGCTAGCACTTGTTACCTGGCATTTTACTATAGCTTCACAACCTTTTGTCAAACAAATCAATGTACCTGATTATATATTCTACATAATAATTAGCTACACTTGGTCCATATTACAGACTTGCTATTGCTTTACTAACCTTTGGTTAAACAAATCATGGTATTCAATTATATATTCAGAATAATAATTAGCTACATTTAATCCAGATTTCAGACTTACTATGGTTGGTCAAATGGTTATTGTCAAAACAAATCAATCTATTTAATATTCAGCATAATAATTACCTATATATATATATACAGTAGTCTACATGAAAAGTATTTGGTTAATTTCTGTTGTGTTTTTCGTTAACTGATGATGGGTTGAAGGTAACCCGAAACATGTCTTCCATTAAATCTTTTGTGTTATTTTTAAAATGCGTTGTATTTTTTGTCAACTTACGTCCATTTGGTTCTATTATCAAGGATTTCAGTTCAAGAAGATTACCAGTTTCTTTATTAAGAAAATATGAAAAGATTACTCTTCGTTTGAACAAAGCCGTATTAGATTTTAATTTTTTACATATATATATATAGATATATATATATATATATATATACACATCATACATATATTGTACATATAATAATAATATTAATAATAATAATAATAATATAGTAATGTTAATAATACAATAATAGCAATAATATAAATGACAATTCTAAAATGCAGTAGTATTTAAACATACCTCCTGCATCAACCTGGACTATGATGATTTTCCCCATCACAGACATTCTATTTAACTCGCCCGCTGCTGTCTTTGCTGCTCTTGTCGTCGTAAAAGTGACAGTAGCCAAGCCTAAGTGCTTGTTGGTTTTGGGGTGGTGCATTATAGATACATCATCAATTATTCCAAATTTATCACACAGGTCTCGTAAAAACTTTTCTTTGACATTGTCATTGAGATTGGTAAATGTTATCTGTTTTGGAGGGACTTCACCGATGTAGTATTTATCAAACTAAGAAATAAAATTAAAACAATATTATTTAATTTCCTTTGTATATTTTGATATGGCAAAACATGTACATACTGTAATTTTTCAAAACATGATTAAGCAGCCTTATAGCTCTGTCAACTAAAATGGTGGCAGTCAGTGTGCGTGCGCTAAACCATGGATATTCCACGATTCAATCCCATCCCTCTTTAGCTGAAATACAAGTTATGGCACATTTAAGCCATTGGTCCTGTAGGCAATAGGGCATATATGCACTTTAAAGAAGACTCCCCCTATTACACACCAGGATGGAAGTTATGCGTCCCAAATAATTACTGGATCAAATACTATAAATGGGTGAAAAATTTGCAGGAGTAATTGCAGTAGGCCTATGAATGGAATAATCTCAAAGTGAGCAGACAGGCCTGCACTTTTTGTAATGATTGTCTGAATCCAGTGTCCACTAAACCCTGGGAGTATGAGCAGTGCATTGTACAACTGGCATTTGCATTACACTCGTGATTTTTTATTCACTTTTATATCCTGTTACTGGTATTCTACTTTTGTGTGACAATTTAAGGAAAATCTAAATTAAATTACTTTACTGTAAATTGTATTTTTAGAGTGATTAGTAGTACTTTTCTGACTAATTTCCGATTTGTAACAATCCAAATTTTCCTGTATTTTATGCTTTTTTTTATATTTACCGGTACATCAAATAACCAATCTTTGTTGAATAATAATATGTTTAAATATACTGTATATAACTACTTAATTTTTATAGGTCTTTATTACTATGTTAAATTGATTATGTATGTAGACAAGTCTACCTTTTCAAATGTTAAAAATAAACACTTTCATGATTAATGTACATATCATCAGGAAATGAATTTTAATATATAAAAATATATCATATACTAATTTTAGTAAGGACAACATGTTTGTGCCGATTTACTCTCCAGACGCCAGCACAGCTCTGGAAGAAATATATCATAGCACCATTCTTTTAAATGTCTTAGCATTACTGGCATATTTTGAGTTCCAATTTATGTCTATTAAAATAAATTTTACAATAACACGAGTCTACAAAATATTGGACAAGGACTTGTCCTGCTACAAAAGAAACACATGTGAGAATCCATTATTCAAATTATGCTCGAACAGTGCAGTGAAAGGAGCAGCAGAGTATTCTGTGTGTAGTAGGTAAGTGGAACGTACCACTTCAGTGAGTGCAGGATATAAACGCTTGTATGTTCACTAAATATAATGAAATAAAATATATTATAAAGTGACCATGTTAATCACTAAAATAAGCCTATATGTGACGAATAAGGAATGTCTACTTCCATCATAACATTTTAGCATATATTGTATTATCTATTTTTTACCATACTGTATTGCGAGTGAGGTATAAATTAGGTTTTACCTTAAATTTTGGCACTGGCAAATCCGCTTTCTCTCTTCTCCACAATCGGCTAATCTTTGATCTTGGATCACGTAGCATTGGACTTGGAAATACATTGGCCTGTAAAAACCCAACAATACCATAAATTTTGAATTTCAGCAATTCCTCACATAAATAATGCACCTCTATTTCTAGTTAATTCCTTTTTACATACTGTATTTCAATTCTGGTACTTTTGCTTCATCTTGTCAACAAAAAAAACTTGCATGTATTCCCAGCTCTTAAAAGAAGCAAAATTCAAATAGTTTCTAGGCCCACATCTAATGAATGGCAAACGACCTAAACAAAACATGACAATATACAAAATATACTGTATAGGCCTGGCCCTAGGGCAACCAAATATGAAGCTAGACCAGTACATTGAGACATATGAGCTTTACAAGTCCCCAACGAATAACATTTACCATCCTTGACACTCGGCTGTAAAGAAAATCATAGGGCATGTTATGTTTGCCTGGGTGCCAAAAATGAATCTGTTGAAAAGCTAGGCCTATCTATATGCTGTGGGCAAAAGCTAGGACACATAACCAGGACAATGGATGGAGATGGATTCTTGGTCTAACTTTGTTGGTGCCAAACTGTATTATTAGGATCTGCGCACACACACAAATTTTACAGATTATTATGCCTTGGCCTATGTTCTAACATATTAACCAATATATTACGCAGCAGTTATGGTTCTGCACACCTATTTTCTAAGCAATTTGATTTAGTTTTTGGCGTAACACGTAAAAACAAAATAATTTATAGCTTAGTCAAGCTGTAAACAAGGACTTTGAAAAAAAAAGGATTAAACTGATGCAGCACTAGAAACCAATCAATCAGTAGGCCATTTGGAAATAAAAAATAATAAATTACAACATTGCCTAGAAGGAGGTTTTCCAGTCTTTAACCGCAAAGAAAAAAAGAAAAAAAAATTTTTTGTTAAGCGGCAAGGTAAAGTTGAACCGGACAGAAAGGCAGTTCATCCTCTTGGCTCGCATCGCAGAATGAGTTGCGGTCTTACCAAAGGCCCATGGATAAGACCATCATATCTGTAAACTTTCTGTTGTCCCTTCTTGATTACTGGGTCAATCATCAACTTGTAGTTTTTCCACTTTTTTTCAGCATGATGTCCACTTGCACCTGCATGTTCCATGCCATTAGTACCTGAAATGATACGAAAAAATAACATGACAAGCTCATTTTTTAACAAGAGATTGCATTAGGCTCGAACAGGGCAACATTTTTTGGCACAATTTTTGAATATTTATGTTGTGTTGTGGTGTGTTGTGTTTTTGTTGTTGAAAAAGGACTCACTAGATGAGAGAGATGTTCTCCCATGTATCGCATGAAAGTCTTCCATCGATATTTCAATAACGCACTAACAAATCTGGAAGACTTTGGGAACCATCAGAGGACAAAAATGCATTTAAACATGATACGAATCATCTGATATTCAATAATTCTTCATCAGCCTCCATCATGTCCTGAGCACAACATTACAAATTTATCACACTGTTTGGGAAATACCCTTGACCTTACGGTGTGTTTGTTTGTTGCTCGTGTAGAAATTTACTCAAAATATCTAACAAATTTATATTTAACAAAAATACAAATTTTACAAATATTTTTATTTATATAGTATGTATTACTTATATTTATATATTCATATTTGAAAATCTATGTCCCAAAGTGATAATAAAATATTATATCTAAGGTACAAATATAAGTCAATTAAAAGGTAGAGTGCCTGCCATGGATATAAACCGAATGCTGATTGGTTACCTGAAAAATGGCCGACTGGTTATTGGTAACAGCTATGAGTTGGCTTTTGTCCACTTTTCAGCCACTCTAATTATTATATCTAAGTTAATGAGGTTCTTTATGGTAGCTACACTACAATTATTACTGACAGTATGATATACATTTTTCAGAAAACAAAGTACATAAATTTTAATCCCCTACGCCTCAACCGATATCTGTTGTGCGTCTGTAATACATCATCCAATCAATGTTCGTGTAAGATACAACGTGAACACTAATCCTTATACTGCCCTCTATCGGTTACCCATTGAACCAAACCATTGGGATTGTCTTTTTCTGGTCTTGATGTATTTATCACTCAGTTGTATTTAGTACTTAAAAACCCCATGAAGTATCAGGAGTAGAGATCAAAGTTTGGTGATCACAGTAATCATAATATAATAAATTAATATCGGACATGAAAGAAACTGAATAACAAAAAAAAACAACATTTTCTTGTTTTTCAAGTATTTATTTTAGCACTTAATTGCTCTAGGCCTACCGACTTTTTTTCATGACCTATATTGTAATTTTTTTTTTAATTAAATAAAAAACATTGCGTGGCTAACGATTCATAGTATATTCTATAAGAAAATATTTGTAGTTGAAACTGCCATCATCATCATCATCTTTATAGCATATCATCAGAATCCATCATCATCATCATTGATAAAACCAGGGAGATGTATACAGTTTACAGCGATGGACCAATTTCATGGAAACACAACTCCTGCTGACCTTAATTAATACTCGTTCTATTAGTCCTGTATTGACGCAGAAGGGAGATTGATGTAGTCTTTTATTTGGTATGTCTATCTGGTCTATCTATACATACCCGGCAGTGTGATAAAGGTGAGGTTTAATTTTACAGTAATTGTTAGCTGGTGTGTTTGAGCCATATGATCTACTGAAAGACTTCAAAAGTGTTATGACAGGCGGGGTAGAAATCTGGGTTTGACTTTTATATTGTCCTATTATTTGTAAATAATATTTTTTCTATCTAATTATAATGAAGCTTTATCCTTTTGTAATATTATAGGTTTGTTTCCACATAATAGTATTGAATATTCTAATTAATTTTCTTGTTCTTGTATTTCAGTATTAAGGAATTTTAACATTTTAGCTTTGTGCTACCACTTTGTATTTGTCATTTTTATACCTCAATAAATAAATAAAAATAAATAAAAACTAATAGCTTGAAAAAAAATAAAATAAAGTTTGAAATGTTCTGTCAAATTGAAAATAATATCAAACTCGATAGCTCTTTAATTCTAAATCATTTACAAATTGATTAAACTATGCAGTATAAATATTAAGATATTTCACTTTCTTCTGCTCACTTTTGTTTGTAAACAAACTTATTTGCCAGTACTGTATTGATATGAATGGGCTAAACTGTGAATTACAGATTTATTTTTATTTTTTCATGAATCATTTTAAGATGGAGAAATATGTCAACATCAGAGTACTACACTAATTACAGGATGGTGATAATGAGAAGACGACAGTGGCGTATCTAGGGGGCTGCACACCCCAAAAACTAATTTGTTCCCCCGTCGCCCCCGCCCCCCAAAATCGCGGTCAAGTAGTCAAAAATCACCTAAAATCACCTTATTTTGCAAATTAGTGCCCCTCAACTGATCATCGCGCCCCTCCCCCCACTTTACCTTTGCGCCCTCCATCAGCATCCCCATTTCAAGACTTCTTGATACGCCACTGGATGATGATGATACTTAACATGATGACGGATGACAACAATGACAATGGTACGGGCCTAAAGTCTAATGTTTCTGAATGATTCAAGTGTAACCAATATAAATATGAAATGCTTATAAACACACAAATAATGTCTGTGTCATGTATTACTCGTTCAGAAGAGATATGTTTTAATATACACAGGAAAAATTAAAGCTCACAAAAATTCAGACAGAAATTTTGTATTAGCGCCCTCTATAACGAATTCTGTGGCACGAGTTTTATATACTCCTTTTTCATAAATACATAAGTATTATAAAGTAAATATAATTACTTAATAAATAATATTTTATCCACGTTTAAAAATTTAAAACATTAAATGTCCAGATAAAACATTAAACAGAAATGACAAGAAACTCTTTAATTAAAATATCAAATTGAACATAATTTAGGAAACTGACATTTTCAACACCTGTTAAATTAGGCATCTTGAAGAGCAATGGTAGCTCCAAAAAAACTAGTGCCTTGTTCAGGGTGGGGTTCATGAGGAAACCACAATATTAGGGATTGTCATTATTCAGCCTCGGTATTTGTATAAGCATATTAATATTTTTGGGCAAACATTGGACAACGGAATGTACAGCATCATGTCCAAGCCTGTCCAATGAGGAGTTACCACCACCCCCCCTTCCCCCCGACCAGGGTATTGGTATGTGTGTGGAGGTTTGATTGCATGTAACCTATAAGCAACAAGATACAGCGAATGAGGAAGATCATCTGCATTCATCCTTGCCTATTGAAATGAAACATCCTGTATTTGCCACCATTCAATTGGTTAATGCAGTGCATACTCTTCATTCACATCTAGTTTCACATTGCTAAAGCACTGTATACTCAACAATAGCATATATTCATGAAAGAGCCACTCTGGCAACATTCCGAAATCTTGGTTTATGAAACCACTGTACGCAATTCAAATTGTCATCAACCTAGCCTATTCCAATCCAATTTTGTACCTCTTTTAAGAATTCTCTTATCTTTCTGTCCATTCCCAGTAAACACAAATTATGTTCTTTCACGCCATTTAAACACATGGAGTTCTTAGACTCTGTCATATAAATAACCTCAGATTTTTCTATCAATATTTGCCAACAGGCCTATAGTTCTTCTCTCTTATTTGTTCTGTTATCAAACTGTTTGGTCCATATCTTCAGATGACTGTCTTCTTCTGAAAACCATTGCTTGTAAACTTTGATTGGGTCATTGTTCCAGTGTTTATGAAATGATATTGGAGTTTGGTGTGCAAGAAAATCTTTGGCATAATCATTTGGCCTTGCCTGCAAAAAATAATGGAAGAAATTATTTAGTTAAACTAATTGGAATCAATAATGTTGAAATTTGCTAATGATTCAGAAGAATATTAGAGAACGAAAAGTAGAGTGGAGCTCAGTGGTAAGAATAGGCAGCTTCCGATTTGGGCGACGACGCTACGTTAGAACGGAATTACTCATGCGTGACCGTCCTACTGGGCGTCCTACATTCTCTGCATACATAGATTTGGTCCTAGAATCCACATGACGAGAACTCGCAGGTGCAGATGACTTTTAGTGATGTCATTACGTTCTACGTCCTACCGTCACATGCAATCGAAAGCCCCCTAATGTTGTCTTCCAGTCCATTTTCACCAAAACAACTACGGTACACTCCCTTGCCTTATATTTGTGTTGAGCATCACATGTTTACTGTATAATTTGTCTTATGAAAGGGATTCCTACATTATACTGTAGAAGACAATGATTATATTGTATGTATACATGAATAATAAAAAAACTAACAAAATCGCTAGCTACTCACCTGATGCATGAGAGGAGTGTGTGTGATTATGAAATCATATTGACGGGCACAACTGCCAACCATCATGTCATCAGGGTCATCGTTACTTCGACATTTACAACCAGAAGCCAGAAGCCCAGCAATGGCGGCACGACTGAAGATCATTCTGAAATTTACATAAGACAGAGTAAAGTTTAAAGCAATACAGTATTAATATAATAGCTTTTCAACAAACATATTTTGTTAATTTCTGCGTTGTAAACTAAAAATGAAATACAGTTAAACTTGCCTAAGTCGCCTTTGCCTAAGTCGAATAATTTCTAAGTTCAATAATTTCTAAGTCGATCTAATTTTACATGCCAAATTGTTGTGTTTTCCATTAATTAACAATCTATAATTTGAATTTTATCTAAGTCAAACAATATTTCAATGGCATTTTGGATTCGACTTAGGCAAGTTAAACTGTATATTTTAGATAAGTAATATATAGTGCATTTTTTATAGTTTTATAGACTCAATCAATAATACAATCAGTTAAAGGTACCAAGGCAAATGAACAGTTTGGTATTTGCTCATTAACACTCTGCCCGCCAAACACGGGGATCTCCGTGTTTCAGGTTTTTTACGGAATCCGATAGATGGGGTAATTACCGACATGAACTAACAATTTGAACACTATATTCAGTCTGGACCACAAGTATTTTACTATTTTGTTTGTTTACATTAGTGTAGAGCAGTATTTATTTACTTTCATGAAATCGCGATTATCTCAGCTTCGTTTTGCGATATTACGTAAATCTCTAAAAGTGAGTCATTTTCATTTTACTGTTACGGGTCACAGACTGTGATTAGAATAAAGTGTCTGGTACCATTGTAAAGCTAAAATGTTTGTAGTTCTTGTAGTATTCACTACATGTCAATCTGATCACATAACGCACTCTCAACGAGCTTCGGAAAAGTGTTAAAAATTTGCTAAAAAGTCTGGCGGTGGCTGATACTTCTTTTTCAAACCCCTGGCGGTCAGAGTGTTAACAAAGCGACATCACATATCACTCTAGAGAGCAACACTGTGTGAAAGTTTGTGAGACAGCATTAAGGCTTAGATCTTTTCTCAAGAAGTTATATCATGATTAAATCTCAGGCAAGTCACAATGCTTGTGACCCTAGAGAAGACAATTTACCTTGCTAGCATGCCTCTCTTTATCTAGTGAATATTTAAACGTACCTGGTAGGAGGTCAGTGATTTATGATTCATTTGGTCTTGTGCTAAATTAGCTGCACAGTGAGAAGTACTCACTCCAAGGATTGGAGTTCGCATGTTGTGTACAGCTATGGAGGTATAATTAGTATAATAGCATGCCCCAATGGTATGATTGATTTTGTATCCAATGATCAAAGTAAAATAATAGGATGACATAATTAATGTCAAAATATTGAATCCCAACACGATGGCATGCATTTCAATACTTGGAGTATGTATTATATTTTCATATCTGTAGAAATTATTAAAACAATTCAACAAAGTATCAAATTATTACCCTCCCCCTCCTGTCAAGTAATCGTAACCATAACCATTCTTCATGTATCCGAATCCGTAGCGTTCACCAAGGAATACAGGTTGTGTTGAATCGTAGCATGATAAAAACTGCTGCAGTCTTGCTACGCTACAAATCAAAATAATGCAGAATTAGAATAAAGGCAACAACTTGATTTGCAAACATTTTATATTAAGAATGTTATTAGCATTATTTTAATAGGATATTATAGCATAAAGTATATGTATGCTAGTGTTAGTTTATATAATATATTCATATTAATATATAGTTATATACAGGTACAGTGGCGGCGCCAGCGGGGGCTTAAGCCTCCCATCGGGTTGGTCAAGCCCCCCCATCGGCCAAGGCTCGTCGGGCAGTCGGACCAACAAAAAAAAAAAAAAATAGGCCTAGTTTTACCATCCCAGCCATTTCCAGCCATCTAGATGTCCCAATTTTTTTTTTTAATCTCGTTTAGGGAGGTCTCTTGGATCCACCCCCTCCCATACCCCCCCCCCCGGCTCCGGGCTTCGGTCCTCAGATAACGCTGCGTGCCATAGTTACACCCATAAATACTTAGCCGCCCCTCCCCCAGTAGGACACCTTAGCCGCCACCCCCCCATAAATTATATCCTAGAGCCGCCACTGTACAGGTACTCTTTATACATTGACATAATGTTACAACTTGTTCGTCTCACCTGAGAATTGTGTCATCATCTGTTACTACTAACCATGAAAATGCCTTTAGTTGTGCATCACTATGGAAACTCTTGAAGATAGCAAACAGCTTACCACAGTGGCCTGTAATGACAAAGATAGAGAAAAATAATAAAATGAAACATACAATTTATCTTCTTAATTAGGTAATAAAATTGTGTTATATTTTCCATATTTGTTTGTGATACACCCTGTATTTGTAAAATTGGAAAGCTAAAAAAATCAAAATATAAAGAAAAAAAAACTAGCAATATTGACAAAAATATCATTCACAAAATCGCATCAAAATAAGCACCAAATTCTAAAAAGTTAGAAAAATATTAAGACTATTGCATTGAAAACAAAAGTTTTATATTGATACTTCTTCAAATGCAATAGTAATGTACACAATTTCAAGAAAATCAAAATATAAAGAAAAAAAAAAAACTAGCAATATTGACAAAAATATCATTCACAAAATCACACCAAAATAAGCACCAAAATCTAAAATGTTAGAAAAATATTGAGACTATTTCATTGAAAACAAAAGCTTTATATTGATACTTCTTCAAACGCAATAGTAATGTACACAATTTCAAGAAAATTGCCGCAATACAGTTTTTGTGTATGTTTAATAGTCTATTACATAGTTAAATTCTATTATAGCTATAACAATACACAATATAAAGAACCACAAGCAACTGCAAGAATGCATAGTGGAATGAAAATAATACTAACGAAAAATCGTTGTCAACGAATTAAATCAGTAGAATACACCCTATGTTTTCGATACTATTAAGTATTTAAAGTTATTGGTTGTAATTTATTAGTTGGACCACATAAAACAAATTTTTCTTTTTAATCATTGAGCAATATACAGTAAGTAAAATGTATTAGCTATTCCAATTCATATGATAAATGATATCGGTTTGTAGATGCTTAGAAAATAGATGAAAGTATTTTTGTTACCTCTCTCTGTATTTGGAACACCAGTAGAAACGGTTGGTATTGACTTGTCTTCAACGTCGCTGTAGAATATCAGATTCTTTGCATATTTTCCCCAAGTTTTCTGAACAACAGAGACTGAAATGATTAAAACAATACTGTTTTATTAAGTTGATAATTTTTATGTTACTTCAAAATAAGCAAGTTAATTTCAAAAATGATTTTTATGATTTTATTTTAATATTTTTAATGGTAGAATACAACAAAAACAGAAAAAACAATGTCAATATTAAACAACAGCAACAATAACAATAATGACAATCTTCTGTAATGTCATTATGACATCTAATTGACTTTTTCTGTCACAAACCATGCGATACCTTTCCAAAATGACATGGTTTGATTGAGCTTTTGTTCATTAGTTGAGAGTCAATTTTTGTTTATATACTTAATATCATGAAAAACATTTGTTTCTAGTGACATTTAACTAGATTTGTGCCTATGCAAAGCAGTACATTGTGTGCAGCTAGACACAGCACTAAACATGACATTATTTTTACAGCAAAAAGCAAAATTAGAACAAGAAGAAACTTGTTTTATTGGTTTTTCATATCTTTAAAGACCATACTGAAAAGTAATGGTGATTGACTTATACAGCAATTAGTATAGTCACATTTACATCCAGCAGGATTTTACTTTAACTGCCTAGTGTTGCATGTTACACACACAAATTTCCACACACACTACAGTACGTATAAAATAGTGATTGCCACAATTCACCTCAGACTTACAATTTGGTTTCATTTTAATGGTTCAATCATTGTTCCTTTTCATGTATTTTTGTACAATGAAAACCAGTGTTTTAAAGTAAATTTCAATTTATATTAAATAAAAATTAAATTCATACCTCGATCTTTGTGGAACTTTTCACATGTTTTCACACCAAAAAATATATCATCTAAGGAAACAGGTTCTCCCTGCAATGGTGTAATATACATAAATATTACTGGTGGGTAATAATAAATGAAATGAGATACTTAGCATAGAATATTTATTTAACAAATTAGGCACAACTGAGACAAGTCCACAAACTGAGTACAAACAAAGTACGAACATAAAAAACCATGGCCAGCTAGAACGGTTTGTTTCTTATGATCCATAAAAACAGTAGATTCTTCCCTGTGGTGAATGTGGCAGCATTCTTCAACATGCATATTGCACACAGGACCAAGAAATGCCTTTTTCTCCAGCTGAAATACAACAAAATCTACAAAAGCTGGGTACATACAATTTATACTTACACACTTCTGCAAATCAACAGGATGTGATGTCACACAGTCAGAAATTTTTGCTAAATCGACATCCGTTTCGAGACTACTAATGATTTCTTCATCAGACAATGGGTTCTGGTTGCTAGGAACGTTACCAGAGCATAGTTGGGGAACGGCGGTCAACTTAATGCCTTTACCCTCATCCCATAGAAAATATGCTATCTGAAATGCAGTTGGAAATTTTTTATATTTTTCTTCCATAAAGTGAGACACCAAGTTGAGGGAGCCTTTACATAAACTACAAAGACGTAAACATCCTAAGTTCACTACATATCGTCGCTCACATCACGAATTAACACAATCAAAGTAGATTGTGTTAGTTCGTGAAATCAAGAAAGCGTGTATAATTACACGCTGTTGTTGTTAACAACTTTTTGTTTGGAAAAGAATGCAAAAGTGCTTGACAACCAATATGCGCTCATTTTGACGTGCTACTGTGATTTCACGAACTATCACAATCCACCCTGATTGTGTTAGTTTGTGACGTGAGAGACAATATGAATATTGATTGCTTTTGAGGAAGTGTATTGCATCATTTACTTTATGCCTACAGTACATGCCATAGATTATGACCATCTACAGACGAATCTATCCCGCTCATTTTATTTCTTCCAGCAGACAAGGCAAGGACCAAGAAAGAGGTTGGCTGAGGAGGGGCAAAAGTTGTACAAAAATAACAACTTTTAACGAAAATGGTGTGCCCCTCCAACTCCAACTTCCTAAACATTAAACATCAGTAATAAAAATAGAAATATAGAAGTGTAAAATTGTGGGCGCTTGAGAATGCGAGGCCATCTACCGATTTTTAGTGAAAGTCTGAACAGATTGTCAATGAAAATAATTTGTTACATGAGCTTCGTCACATTGAAATCTGCCCCCGGCTACTTACAGCAGCCTACATTTTCAAAAATGGTTGTTAATATTGTTGCCATAGAAAAGTATGGAAAAATGAAAGATAAAAAGATAACTAATTAGTTTATTCATTGTAATTCATTCTATTGAAAAACTATTTAAATTATTAAATCATAAAGGAACAAGTTTACCTCATGTTTGACATCAATTGAAAAGTCAATCTTAATACTGCCTTTCTCCCATCGTTCTACAAAACTGAAACAAAAATATCTATGTTAAAACAATTAAACCAAAAAATTAAAAAAATTGATAAGAAGTGACTTCAACAATAAAAAAAAAACCGTAGATTTACCTTTTGAATGTGTAGCATTACCTTTTAAGAATTTGTGCACTCAACAGCCACCCAGCTTCAAAGTCTGGGAAGAAGAAGACTGAAGGATTGTTAAAGAAACGAAAATGATGTATAATAGTTGGATCTTCATCTCGTAAAGCTTTGCCCAGGAACAACTCCTAACAATAAAAATGTTGAAAAAGAATCATTTTTAATTCTTTGTTGTTAAGTTTAGCATTTGAAGCAAAAAATAAAGTTTATTAGGCTAAGAAAAACTGCATTAATTTCTTGTTTGCACCTGTTATCTCTTGCGGTGCTGGCTCAATTCTGGGTTTTAAGAAAATTTAATATTTTCATCACAATTCTTCATAATTTTATTTATCAATTCAAATGGATAGTGATGTACAGTTAAAAAGTACTCTATAGCGTACATACTTTTAAAGTGTTTTAAATACTAATAGTCGTAGCTATACATTAAATGTAGTTAATCGCATTATTCACAGCAAATACATGTTAATTATCAAGTATCAAGCACTGTTTTATCTCAAGTAAGCAGTTGCCTGAGATGTATTGTTCCTGCTTCTTGTGCTGCAGATCCTACTTCAAACACGACCAGCATCTGGTTTTAATTGAGTCTGATCGCTTGGCTCCCTAAATAATGTTTGTATCCGTATGTATCCATTATAGGTTGTAGTTAAAGTCTGGTGGTATTGCACTGCAGCTGGTACGGGTCCCGAGGGACCCAGCCCAAATTGTGATCTCCAATTGGAATGAAGACAAATAAAGTATTACCGGTATTATTATCAGAAAATAACTTGCTACAATACAATGCTAAAAGACATTGCATTTGTGCTACACCACAATACACACAGTAGTTTTTGGTTACAAACACAAATATAATAAGCTATACACATTTATGCTCTGAATAGGATCATACAATGGTTCTATGCTTTGACAATACAGAGAGATAATTAAATACAGGGAAATTGTGAAGATTGAAGCCATTGTACTGCCTTTGGTTTAAAGGAGTGTATTAACAAAGTCTACCTTTGTTAATACAATGAGAAAATAGAATATTATTATTATTTATAACTAGTTTTAACATCATACCCCATACTACAAACATTTTAAACTTAAACATTCCGTCCTAATAAAAACAACACAATAAACAAAATAGTACAAGCATGATATAAAAGCTAGTTCAGTTTCCTTTCAACATTCAGTATTGAAAGCTGTTTCCATAGTCCTCTATTTTGTGCAGTGATTCTAAGTTCATGTAAATCCTCAACAGTGTTCAATTTTATATTTTCTTTATTGCAAGATCACTTTTTAATATTGTAAATAGATTAATCTGATGCCTTCTTACTCTTCCTTGCTACAAAGCAGAATTGGTGGCATATGTCAATGCTAAGGCTGCTGGTGTAGTTTCTTCACCTCTTAAGATATGACCCAACATTCGCCATCTTACTTTGAGAGTTAATAGAATATACATCTATATACTGTGGATCACATCAGTTTTATAGGTACATCTGGATGCCAAACATTCCTCTCAAACATTATTTTTAACATTTCAATCTCATAGATTTCATAGTACTAATAGTGCTGTTACCCCTTGATACTTACAATGTGTGGTAACTAGATATAAAAGAAATTATTAAATTGAAATTTAAGCTGGAAGAGTAACTGCATAACCTACCTCATTCCAGTTGTAATTGCTAAGAACATTAATGAGGCCTAGCACACTGACACGTGACTCTTCCTCACTCAGGAAAATCCATTTCTTGTCCTTGTGCAATTTTCTAATTCTAAAAATAGAGAAAAAAAGGATTACACAAATGTAAATTATAAAAATATATATCAGCTGATACCTCACTTTTATAATTATTATATTTGTGAGGTTCCACCATCATCAACATGTTTTTTTTGTCACTCGATCAATTAATAAATCAATCAATCAATCAAGTGAGCATTTTAGCTTTCCATTATGTAATAATGCAAAATTCAAAAATACATTAAAAAATAAAACATATAATTGTGTACTCAATTGTCTGAATTATTTAATAAAATATTAATAATCACACCTAATTCTTAAGGCACTTAATTTACATTTGTCTCTATTTCCACCCAGGAGTATAAATGGGTACCCGGTGGTTCACACTGGGGAGGAAAAAAGGCAGTGTGGATAGGGACTGGCCCCCTACCACACCATGCCGAGGCTTAATACCATAAGCTAACTACAGCTCATTCCTCTACATTCTGTAATGGATATGGGACTACCTTTACCTTACATACCTATAATATTATTGGTATTATTTCAAATCACTTTTATTCAATAAAATTTCAGACACATATAAATTGAATAAAAGGAAGAATAAATAAATGAATAAAACTCTCTAGGTTACATAATATACAGTACCATTAACATAGTAGGGAATGATTTAATGGATTTATTTTTAATTAAATAATTTCTATGTTTCGTATATGTTCACTATAATACATAAGGCTATTCTGTGCCATGTCAAGTGGATTTATTCTTTTGTATTTAAAGTAAATTTATCCTTGTTTATTAATCTACTTAATTTATATTGACAAAATATAAAAATGTAAATGATTACAAAAGTGATTTTGATTCACAGAAAAAAAGAATTCAATGATTGGAAAATGAATGCAGTAAAATGTTATACTTACTGGGGTAAAATTGGCAGAATGGTCCACTGGCCACTGCTTGTAATGTCTTCACTCAATAACAAAATTTCTGGATCACCCTACAAGCACGAAAATCCCAAATCATTACTCAATTATATGACGGGTCAAGTTATTGAAACTGCTTTAAAATTGTCTATACTGTCAGCTCAGCAGTTTTATAAAATGTTACACAATATTAGCCGAGTTGTCAAGAAGACAATTTTCAGAAGGTTAAAGGTTGCATTTATACTGCAAGTGGACAAATGAAACTGGAAAAATAAGGAAGAACTCCAAGCCGGCACCCAAACCACAGTATGAGCATACGCCCTCATCGCTGACGGTTTAAACATTGCTTTCATCCACCCAGTGGACTTCATCAGGAGACTGTACATTCCACTTGATCTAATAAATGTTAGTCTTTAAAGTGCTGAGATTTGACATTTCTTATATTACTTTTATTCAAGATGTCAACAAAACAGATTAAACCTTATGCTTCTTTATGATATTTACAGTATCTAATTAAAAAAAAAAAAAAAAATCATGACTATAGTTTTTACACCGTTTACTAGAAAAGGTCTCTGAGATACAAATTAAATTATTCAGTAAAACAATTAACAAATTCAGACATAATATTATTAACAATACTGTTTAAAATGCAATGAAAATTTTGAAAAATTGGATTTCATACTGTAGATTATTATTTGGAAAATGATTTCATACTGTAATATTTATGTAACAGAGGTCCCAATTTGGATGAAGCAACTTCCGAGAAGTATATCATCAGCTTTCATAACACATCTAATTTTATTTTGATGCACGGGGTGATACCCATCAGCACTGACTTCCATAACACAAAAAATCACGCAAATATCGTAAATTTGTAGGAGGTGGGTTTTTCTGGGAGATTCTTGTTGTTTGCCGGAGTGCGGGAGGCCTTCATATTTTCTGAGAGACTGGCGGGAGACTTGGGGACTCCTAATGTACCCGATTCCACCTAATAGTTCTGATAAGTATCAGATTCGGTGACATCACCATTCATGATGCCGCCACCAAACCTGATTAGGGGATTCTGATCAGATGATTGATGACTGGTGCTGTCACCAGTATAGAAGTATATGAGCATTTTATTTGTCACTAAAACTGATCACTTAGGTAAAATCGGCTGCCTGATGTAATGATCTTTGTCCAAATAAAAGAAATAAATTCAAATCATAAACTACTAACAACTTTTTATGATAAGTAATAAGATTACTAATGACTATGTGACTTTATCATAATTTACCAGCTGTCACTCAACACATTAACAATTGCAAACTAATGCCATCAGAGAGAATCATACTGACATTGTAATTGATCAACTTGAGTACAGATGCTGTCCATAAACACACAAAAGCAGCACATAATAAA